TGGAGATTCCTTGAATAGCTCCTCATTCTCATCAGGAATTAGTTCCCTTTCCCATCCTCCTCTGAAATCAGGGCCATGCTTGGCCTCCAGCCTCCCCAGTACCTCTCTTGCTCCATCCCTATTCAGGGTTCTCAAAATCTGCCAACCCCTGTCCTCTCTAGACCATGCTGATCTGAGCATGTCCCTTTCTTTCATCCCCCAACCTATGCCACCCACAGCTCCCTGTGGTTCCATCAGGGGCCCACCAGTAGAGTGCCTGCCCTGCTCAAGCTCTAAGAGAGAATGACCTCTGAGGACCAGGCCAGTGCTGCCACCATACAGGACTTATGGAGGTTGATGCTGGCAGGGTCTCTCTCCAGCACAGTGGACCCCATCTTTCACTTAGCCAGCCAGGACTACTCCCCACATTGAGCTCAGTTCCCTCCAATACACTCAGGGTCCATGGCCACCTGGTCCCTCAGAGCCTGATCCCCTTCAGCCTGTCTCTCCTAGCCACTGCTGGACTCTAGGCTAAGTCTCCCTGTTGCTCACGAAAGTGATATCAGTGTTTCAAGTTCAAAAGAGCAGAAAGCACAACTTTTTCATCACTCAGGAAACACATACTCATTGAGCAGTTACTGAGTGTCATGAACATTTTAAAAAGCAAATTCCCCTATCAAATGACAGCTTTAAATTGTTTGAAAGTTCTTTAATTGCATATATTTATGGCATACAAAATGATATTGTTATGTATGCTTGCAATGTGGAATGATTAAACTAAGCTAGTTAATCACCTCATTTTTGTAGTAAGAACATTTGAAATTTATTCTCTTAACATTTTTTAAATATACAATATATTATAAATTATAGTCAGCATTCTATGATGCATTCTATCTCAGAAAACGTATTCCTCCTGTCTAACTGAAGTTTTGTACACTTTGATCAACATTTCCCAGTTCTCCCTAACTCTCCAGTCTTGGAAACCATTACCCTACTCTCTGAGTCTACAGGTTCAATAGTTTAGGTTGTATGAGAAATCGTGCAGTAGTGTCCATCTGTGCCAGGTTGGTTTTGCTTAGCATAATATACTCCAGGTTGATCGATATTGTTCCCAGTGACAGGAATTCATTTTTTATGGCTGATTTTATTACAATGTTACAGTATGCCACGTTTTCTTTATCCACCATTCATTGATAGACACAAGCTTTTACCTGGCTATGATGAATAGTGCTACAAAGAACAAATGATCTCTTTTGCAGATAAATGTTGCAGTTATTTCTTCAACATTCTGATATTAAATACTTTGAGTATTTACCGAGAAGTGGATTGCGGGACTATATGGTGGTCCTAGTTTTAGTTTTTCAAAGAATCTTCATTCAGTTTTTCATAACTATACAAAATGAAATTCTCACCAACCATGTACAAGGGTTCCTTCTTCTCTACATTGCCACCAACAGTTGCTATCTTTCATCTTTTTGATAATAAGCATTCAGCTGGTGGAAGGTGATATCTTACTGTGGTTTTAGTTCACATATTTCTGATGATTAGTGACGTGGTTGTCTTCTTCTTTCTTGTGGTACAGGTGTTTGAACTCAGAGCCTCATATTTGCTAGGCAGGAGCTCTGTCCCTTGAGCCACACCCCCAGCACTTTTGGCTTTAGTTATTTTTCAGATGAGGTTTTGCATTTTTGCCCTGGGCTGGCCTCACACTATGATTCTCCTTCTAGCCACCATGCCAGGCTTATTGGTTGAGTTGGAGCCTCATTATTGCCCCAGCTGGCCTCAAACCATGATCCTTTCTATCTTTGCCTCTCAAGTAGCAGGTGTGAGCCACAGTGCCCAGCTGTGTCTTCTTTTAAGAAAATCTTGGCTCATTAAAAAAGGTTTATTCGTTTTCTTGTTACTAGGATGTTCACATTCCAGAGATTGTGCATATTATCCTTATCAAATGTAGCTTTCAAACATTTTGTCCCAATTCATACACTGTTTCTTCACTCTGTTGTTTCCTTCTCTGTGTAAAAGATTTTTAGCTTGATGAGATCCTATTTATCTAATTTTAATTTTTATATCTGAGTTTTTGGGATAAAATCCAAGCTTATGTCTGAGACAAATGTAGCTTTCCCCCTAGGTTTTTTCTACCCACTATACAGTTTTAGATTTACATTTAAATCTTTAATCCATTTTAGTTGATTTTTGCACATGGATGAGATAAGGTCCAATTGTATTCTTCTGCATTTGGATATCCAGTTGAAGAGCTTGTCCTCTTCTAATATATGTTCTTGCAAACTTTGTTGAAAATCTCTTGACTATAAATGCATGGTTTCATTTCTGGAATATCCATCTATTCAAATGGTTGTTGTGTTTCTTTTCTTCCAGCAACATGTTTTAATTACTATGGAATATTAATATAGCTTGAAATAGATAGCATGATACCTCTAGTTTTAAATTTTCCTGAATATCCAGTGCAGTCTTGGCAAAAAAGTACAAAACTGAATGGATAAAGATATATATGTGTGTGTCTATATATATATATATATATAAAATGAAATATTACAGCCATAAAGAGTGAAATTATGTAATTTGCAGGAAAATGGGTGGAACTGGAAATATTATGCTTAGCAAAATAAACCATGCACAAAAAGCCAAATATTGCATGTTCTCACTATTTGTGGAACCGAGACCTAAAGTGATGATAATGGTGATGGTGATGATGGGACATGAGTGTATATGGGGGACTGTCTGGGAGGGGAGAGTCCAGGAAGGAGGAGAGGGAAAGGAAAGGACACTGAGGGATAAAGAGGATGAAAGTACAGCACATACATACATATGCAGCTCATGTAATTAAACCACCAAACACTGTTTGAAAAAGAGGGAAGGAAGGAGGGAAATGGAAATATAATAGAGGGATGAACTTGCCAAAGCTACACTGTGTGTATATATGGAATTACCACAATAAAATCCCCTCATATTATTAGCATATGCTAATTCAAAAATAAACTAAAATTATAAATAAATTTTTAAAAGGAAAAAAAAGGTAGAAGTGACATAATACCTTTTTTCAAGAAATTCTACACAGAGTGATAGTAACTAAACCAGAATGGTACTGGATATAAAACAGACACATAGACTAAATGAATGTAATAGAAATTCCAGAAATAAATCCATACATCCACAGCCAGCTGATTGTTGACAAAGATGTCAAAACATACATTGCAGAAAGGACAGTCTTTTCAGAAAACCATAACAACAGGGCTCAGGTGTCTCTGAATGATAAAATGCTTTCCAAGCATGTGTAAGGCCCTGGGTTTGATTCCCAGCACCACAAAAATCAAAAAGAAAAATCTTAACAACAACAAAAATAATCTGATCAAAAGATAGAAAAATGATCTGAATACAACTTCTGAAAAGAAGGAAAATCAAATGGCCATCAAGTATATGAAAAGGTTACTCTATCATTAGCTATCAGGGAGAAGCAAATAAAAAACACAATGAGACACCATCTCACCCCAGTTAGAATGTACTGTCAAAAAACTAACATAGAGTGGTGAGGAGCCCTTGCACACTGTTGGTGAGAATGTAAATCACTTCAGCCATTATGGAGAACAGTGTGGAGATGCCTCAAAAAACTGAAAATAGATTTATCATATGATCCAGTTATGCTACTTCTTGGTATATAACCAAAGGAAATCAGATCAGAATACCAAAGTTATACTTGCACATCCGTGTTTTAGGTGTATACAATAGCAAAGATATAGAACCAACCTCAGGCCTATCAACTACTGAATGGATAAACAAAATGTGATTTTATATATACATACATATAATAAAACATTTTATATTATATATCTAATGAAATATTATTCAGCCTTAAAAGAGAATGAAATCCTGTCATTAGCAGCAAAATGGACAGAACTGAAAGACATTTTGTTAAGTGAAAGGAGCCAGACACAGAAAGAAAAGAAGTGTCTAGTCTTTCTCTTACATGGAAGCTAAAGAAAGTTGTCCTGAAGGTAGAACAGTGGTTACTAGATATTGGAAAGTGTTGGGGGATAGATAAAGGGAGCTTGAATTGATTAGCACATGCTCTGTACATGGGTGAAAATATCACACTGAAGCCATTAATATGTACAATTAATACATGTTAATTTAAAATTAAACAGGTATTTGTTTTGTTTTTATGGCTTTTTTTCTTTGCACCAGATACTCTTCTAAGCCCTTTAGTTTTTAACAATTTTTTAGTATATAATAATTCTTAGGGGTTTCATTATGACATTTCCACATGTGCACTCAGTATACCTCCCTTTGGTTCACCCCCTCCATTATTCTCCCTCTTCTCCCACCCTCTTCTTAAAATGACGTCCACAGGTTTCAATGTTCCATATTCATACATGTGTGTGTCCTTTCCCCTCCCCCTCCCACCAGTGCCTCCCTTAGCATGACCTGTTTTACGTCCTGTCCTTCCTTGTTTAATTATCTGTTCTTTGTTTAGGGGGATTTTGCCTTGCTATTTATCTGTAAATATATTGCACTTTCATCAGTCCAACCCCCTCTACTACTCTTCTTTATTCTTTTCCCCCTACCCTGTATTGTTCAACAGGTTTTACTGCATTTCAGTGTGTCTTATTCCCACATAGACATAATGTACTTCAATATTATTCTCCCTATCATTCTTTTCTTCTGAACTCAGGAATTATCTGAACCATAGCTCCCATCCCAAGCCCAGGCTTCTAAATGTAATGCAGCCTGGTGATGAACAAGGACAGACAAGGGAGGCTGTTCCCCAGAAGGCTTAGGAGGTTCTTGCATCTCCTCAGACATTACTTCAGCACTTGGAGACTGGGGTGTCCTTAGAAAGATTAAGCAGATGATGTGATGCTACAAAGGATGAACAACTAAATCCCTCACTCCAACCCAGAAAAGGGAAACTCAGACCACAATAGGGTCACTGGAACCTATTTTGGAACTCCTTGCATTAGTCAGTGTCCTCCATCCCTCAGTCCTGCTGAGGAAAGAGGCCCAGCATGCAACCAACCTCAGGGATGGTAAGATGACTGCATCCAACTTTTCTGTTGCCTCGACTCCATCTTTGCCTTTGCCTAGTTCGCTTGTCCACTTCTTTTCACCTTTCCAATGCCCCAAGCTGTATCTCTGTCTCTGGCAGTCCCCTCCTCCATCATCCTTATGGCCTTCAATCCCATCAGCACCAAGCCCCAACCAAATGCTAATTGGAGGTCATTCATTCATATAGAAAAAAGAAAAATGTACTGAGTACCCAAATGTGTCAGGCACGAGAACAGGGGAATTTTTGAAAATCCAACTCCATATTCTCATGGGTAAATTAACAGAAAATAAAACCAATCAGAGTGTTGGGGAGACTCAGAGAGCTTGGGGAGACTCACTATGAAAAAAAAGAGCAAGACATGCTGTACAGGATCCTCAGGGTTATACCATCGTGAAGCGTGTAAAGCAGGAGGTGGAGGAAAAGCACAGTCCACAGTCACCCCGCACACCAGCATTTCTTTCAGACATCATCGGGGGGCATGAGGCCATGCCCCACCCCCACCACTATGTGGCATTTGTGCAGTTTCAAATTGGGGAGAGTAAGCACAGGTGCGGTGGCATCCTGGTGCTAGAGGACTTTGTGCTGACAGCTGCTCATTGCTGGGGAAGGTGAGAAGCTCAGACAACCCGTACTTCCTGAGACCCCCAACAGGGACCCTGTCCTCTAGAGGGAGTATAGTCTTCAGGAACTCCCAGGATTGTGATAACACAAGCCCAAGAGAGCATATCAGAAAGCAGGACTGGGAAAATGAAAGTATATGAATTAGGATGGGTAAGTTTTGGTGTCAGAGCAAGCAGCACAGTAACATAGAAAGTGACCACATTGGCCAATTAAAGCCATGGTGGAAGAGACAAACATTCAGTAAGGGTCAAAACGCCAACTGGAGCAATTTCATAACATTGCCTAAAAGTAGTAGGGAGCCCCCAGAAGTCCTCCAGAAACAGAGAATACAGTCACTCTTGTCCGCTCACTTTCCCATCAGGTTCAGCCCATCCTGCCAGGCTGTAGCCTGCTCTTCACTTTCTATACTGTCTCCCCTCTGAAACCCAACACACCCACCCCCACCCTCACTCTGCTCTCTGTGCAGCTTTATAAATGTCACCCTGGGTGCCCACAACATCAAAGAACAGGAGAAGACTCAGGAGGTCATCCCTGTGAAAAGAGCCATCTCCCACCGAGACTACAATCCTAAGGATTTCTCCAGGGACATCATGTTACTGCAAGTAAGGGTCACCTCCCTGCTGCCCTTGCTCTCCTTGGTGCAGGAACTTCCTCTCCCCTTTGACCCTGCCCCTTCCCTCCTTTCCATCCTGGCTATCACAGGTGTCCAGTCCCAGAAGGCCACTGGCTGAACTGAACTGTCTTGCTTCTTCCCCACCAGCTGAAAAGCAGCTGTGCAGCTCCTCAGGCTGCCCACAGGCAATTCCCAGGTGAAGCCAGGGACAGTGTGTAGTGTGGCCGGCTAGGGGAAGATGGCCCCAACAGGCACTTTAGCAACTACACTGCAGGAGGTGTAGCTGACCGTGCAGAAGGACAAGGAGTGTGAATCACTCTTCCATAGCTATTTCAACAAGGCCACCAAGACTTGTGTGGGAAACCTAAAGATAATACAGACCAGTTTCCAGGTAGGGTTTTGCACATCAATGCAAATAGGACCCAGGGAAAGAGGAACTTGGGGAAAGTCTGGTCATAGCCTCATGTCCTCAATCCACAACTTGGTCAGCCTGGAGTCCTCAGGAATTCAGTCTTTAGTTCACTCCCTGGGTAGATCAGGAAGCACCAGTCATGCCAAAGCACCATTATCACCAGAGTATCCATGAGGATTGCAGAGAAATGCTTTACCTGGTTTGTGCTGGAAAGAAAAGGGGGGTCAGGCTAGAGCTGAGGGAGGCAGCAAGGCCTGCCCTGGCCCTGATCTTATAGTCACAGTTCCCTAACAGAGGTGGGAGAATGTGACCAGAAGGAGGCCAGCTCAGTACCTTCCCTTTTTGCCCACAGGGAGATTCTGGGAGCCCCCTTGTGTGCAACAGCAAAGCCCACGGCATTTTCTCCTATGGAAAAAAAAGGAGGACCCCTCCAGGAGTCTTCATCAGTCTCCCACTTCCTTCCCTGGATAAAGAGAACATGAAGCACCTCTAACATCAGACGGAAGCTGACCTTCCTCTGTGCCCGGTCATCATTTCTGAGTCAGAGGCAAGAATCCCATGGGGGTAGGCAGTGACGACTGCAATATCATAATAAACAGATCTCTAGTGTGAATGTGGTTGAAGTCCTTTATTCTTCCAATCACTCTCAGTGTGCAACTATGCTGCTCCAAGCAGCCCTCTGCTGTCAGATCTGGATTTTGCTTCCTCTTTTCTCCTGCAGCCACTTCCTCCTCCATAAATTCTATGTTGTAAAATTTCTCAATCACACATAGTTTCTTTTATGCTTATCTCTCCAAAGTTGTCTTCCTCACTGCACAATGGGAGTCTGCAGTGTTATTGAGGTGTTATCATACAGTCAAACACACATCTTTGATACTTAGTCCTCCAAAAATGAATCTCTTTGAGCCTTAGGAATTTCTCAGCATCTCTAAGCCAACTACTTTCATCAGGCCCCAACAATTTGGAGCAGGGCAGTGAAGAGAGGCATATTAACTAACTCTAGGGATCCAGGAAGTCAGGGGCCACTCCATAAGCACTCACTTTCCTGTTTCCAAGGCCTCGATATTTCTGGTGGAGGTTGAGATGGTCCTCACACTCACCCAGATCCTATATCCCTGCCTGCCCTGGGCCCAGTCAACATCCATTCTCTCTGGCAAGCCTTCTTACATCAGTCCCTTTTTTCCTTCCCAGTGCCTCTGGACTCCATCCCCTTTCCCTTCCAGTCTTCCCTAATTTGAAGCAGCTTTTCTCTTGTCTCCCTAACAGAATTCCCAACTCTGTGAGGATTCTCCATTGCTTGTTCCTGTTAAACTTGGGCTGCCAGCCCACCTGATGCTCACACCTCCCACCTGTGTAGGCCTGAGATCCTTGTTCCAGCCCAGAGTCCCCCAGGAGCCCAGGCATCACCTCCTATGGAGTCACTCAGTAGCCTCAGCCTCTTCCTGACCTGGGAACCCAGACTCGCCCTACTGGGGTTATGGTAGCCTATGAGCCCTCCAGCCCCAGGGCTGTTGGGCTGAAGTATCACTTTGCCATAGATTAGCTAACACTTGTTGATCTCTCTCAATCTCTCTCTCTCTCTCTCTCTCTCTCTCTCTCTCACCCTCTATCTTTCACTCTCATAGGATCTGTCCCACCTTTGAAAAACTTACACTAATGAGAAATTTCCTCTAAATTCTCCTAGTTCCTCTCCTTCCTTCAGAAAGATAAGTTTGACACAAATCTGTATTTAGAATCAATAAAATATGCTTTGAAAATAACTAAATTCTTTGTATTCTAACAGCATTGTGCACGACATCACATGCATGATCTTCTTTGGTTCCAGAAGAGTGTATGTGGAATTGGAAAAGACTTGGAGATCCTGAGGTCCTAAGATATCCAGTCTATGCTCAGTGGAGTCCATGTCCAGAGGTGTGGGAAGAAAGGAGACACCAGAGAAGACTTAGCTTTGTTAATTTTTCATATAGAAATCATGAACCTTAATCCCCAAAATGCTACAGTTCAAGAGGGAAATAGTTGTGACCCAGGTGACCTCATTTAAGTCCCTCAAACAGCACCACTGGTGCATGATACATGGCAGAACACAATAAATTCACAATAGCTGGCAAACACTGAATCAAGAGAGACCAACATCCAAAAACAAAGCAAGTTTATCAAAACTAATAACAATCCATAGATATGAAAAATCATAATTCAGCACATTGAAAAACAAGGGAAAGGCAAATAGACTTATATTTCTCACATTGTTGTCCCAATGTCCATCTTCCAAGTCTTGCCCTGCAAATCACAGCACATGTGAGAAAGGAACTAACTGCATGCACAGAGGTAAGTCAGTGAACAATAGAGGGTGCAGGGCCAGACAGCGATCACTCAAAATCAATGCAGAGACCAGAGAAGGTCAGTAATGAAGCATTTTACAGAGTCCCAGGGTATAAGCCAGAGGCAGGGCAGAGTGATCAAGCATTCCGCCACCAAAAGCAAGTAGGCATAGCTTTATAGGACAGTGCCTAATGGGCACTTCCCCCCGACACCAGATAAAAATGCTGAGTATGAGATGCATTAGGCACTCACAATGATTTCTACATAAGTTTACATATATTTTCCTCTCTTGCTCTAGCAATTTTTGGTTCTAGGACTTTATCCCATGCTTGATGAAGTGTCCCCCAAAAAGGCTCGTGTGAAGGCTTGGTCCCCAGCTGGTGGCACTATTGGGTCATGAGTACCCTAACTTCATCAATAGGTCAATCCATTGATGAGTTCATGTGGAACAGTCTATTAGAAGGTGGTTGGAGGAAGTAGATCACTGGGGGCATGTGTTGAAGGACTTATCTTGTCCCTGGCCCTTTCCTGTCCATTTCTCTGCTTCCTGGCTGCCATAAAGTAAGCATCTCTGCTCCACAGGCCGTGAGGATCTGTAGTGTTCAATAGAACTCTGGTCTTCCACAAAGCCAAGAGGAATTAGACTGGTCACTAATTAGAGGAGCAGCAGAGGGAGGGAGGGGATTCAATCCAGCCACTGCCTGCAGAGAATATTTGCATTGTTGGGGTTTATGAAACCCAGGGAAGAGTCAGAAAACATCTGCTGTTAATGTCCTAACATCCCAAAGGAGAAAAAACTGTAACCAAAGGAAATGTAAGAAAACAGTCAAAAATAGATGTAACCAGCTATGGGTATTGTGAAACATATCACAGCTTACTTGTTCAAATATCACAATTTTCATTAAAGTAGAACATAAAAATATTTTTAAAAAGGTATGTACTTCAATCTATTTCATACATTCTCCTCTCCACCCCATGTTCTCTATGACCCACCCCATGCTGTGACAAACAGAATTTTTAAAAAAAATGTATTGCAAAATATACACACACGAAAAGTCCATAAGACACAAACACACAGTTTAAACAATAATTATAAGGCAAGTGCTACATTTTGTCAAGAAATAAAGCATTCCAGGAATTCCACACTCCAGAAATCCCCCTTATGAATCTCCACCTGGTCAAAAAACCCTTTCTGCCCTCCAATCCCAGAACTAACTATTCTGACTTTGGTAACCATTTTCTTGCCTTTTATTATACATTTCTCATGTATGCATGCATTTCTACTTAATGTAGTTTCTTTCCCTAGTTTTGAACTTTATATAAATAAAATCATGGTAAATGTAGTGCCCTTAGGTTCTTCCCACATGTTTGTAAGACCTATTTGTGTGGCTGCATGAGGCATTAACTTTCACAGTCACAGTATTCTGCTATATTGATGTACCATCATTTGGTTATGCATGTTGCTCTTGGTGACCTTCCAGGTGTCCCCGTGTGGGGCTATCCTAAAAATACTGCTATGAATAACACTGGCATGACCTTCTTGGACATGGATCTGGTGGAAATGTGCTATTAAAGTCTTTTGCCTATTATTTTATTGAATTGCTTGTCTTTTCATCCTGATTTATGGAAGTTCTTTTCATAATTTGAACATGTCTCTTGCTGGTTATATGTGTTACAAGTGTCGTTGCACCCTCTATGAATTATCTTTGTTTCTCTCAATTTTACTATATTGATCCTTTCCCTTATGATAAATACTGGTATATGAGGTATCTAAAATCTTTCTTTATCATTAAGACATTGTTATAGTATATTTTCAAAGATTTATTCACACTAGGACCCATAATAGATTTAGAATGGATATTTAGATATGGTGTGAGATAAGGTCCAAAAAATTTTCTACATTGGAAATATGTGTCACTATAACACACTGTAAAGATTCCTATTTTCTGAATGCCTATTTGGAGACAAAAGAAAAAAATACTCTTTTCTCTACTGTGATAGAATTAAGTATTTATACGTGTATGTGTCAATGTCCATGTGTGTGGCAGGTCTTTACTTCTGGCCCATCAGTCTATGTTTCTGTATTTCGTAAATCTGATAATATCTTCATTACCATAGCTTCATTTACTAAAGCAAGTTCTCTCATCTTATTCAGCAGTGTCCTGGATATTGCTCGCCATTTGTTTTTCTGAACATATTAGAATTAGATAAGTTCAACAAAATGCTTCTCAGGTGCAATAAAGTTATACATCAATTTGAGGAAAACTGACATTTTAATAATATTTAGTCTTTGGATTCATAAATATGGAATCTCTCTACATTTTTTCTTAAATGTCTCTTAATTCAGTTTTATACTTTTCACCAGAGTTATTGCACATATTCTTTTTGATTTATGATTAGTTATTTGACCATGCATATGCCATTTAAATATTAACATTTGTAATTTTTCATTTTCTAACATTATTGATGTGTGTGTATAACTATGATAATTTTTCATTGAATTTTATCTAACAAATTTGTTAACTCTTATTAATTATGGTAACTTACTTGTAGGTTCCTCTGAATTCTCTGTACATTCGATCATCTCTTCAAATCATTACAAATGGTTCTCCTCCTATCCTTATACCTCCCACTTCTATTTCCTGCCTAACTTCACTGGCTAAAACTGCTAGTATAATGTTGAGCAGAATGGATGGGAATGTGTTCCCACACATTCTTGTATTGTTTATCTCTGAAAGACAAAGTTTTCAACACTTCACCATTAAGTATAGTAATTGTTGTGGAATTTTTATGGACAACTTTGACAGCATTAAAAATATTTCTTTTTATTTTTAGTTTGCTAAAAGTGCTTTTTAATGAATGAGGTGAATTTAAGCAAATGTTTGTTTCTTGTTTTTGTTCCAACTGAATAATGTGTTTCTTCTTCATCAATTAATGTGATGCGCTACAGTAATTGGTTTTCAAATGAAAACTATGTGTTGCTTATTTCTTGTGATATATCTTTTTACTTATTGACTGATTTGATTTACGTCAATATTCGGAAATGATACCGGCCTATAATGTTCCTTTCTTATACTGTCTATTGGTTGTGGCATCAAGGTTATGCTAGTCCCGTGAAAGGGATGGGTAGTATCAGTTCTCCAGACAAAATCATATAGCAGTCTTTGAATCTTTCCTAGAGGTTTTTATTTAGTTTGGTTATCAGAACAAAAGTTCATATTGTATGAGTTCAATAGCTTCCCTCAGAGCAAGAGTAGCCCCTCAAATGATCACTCCTGTAACGGGGCAGTTCTTTGAGGCTTTTAAGGTTTTGGGGCCGTTCAAACAGCTTTGTTTCTAATTGCTTCTTGTGGGATGCGAACATGAAGTCTGAGATTACTGTTAATAAAATGCCCTGTGCACATCTTTATTCACATCTTGGGTATTTATTTTTACTTGTCTTTTTTCACATGTGCAGGCTATTTTCTATCTTTTTCTTTTATTTTTCAATTAAACTTTTTTTAAACTAAAACATTGAAAAACAATCACTCAATTAAAATTATCCCAAATTCTAAGGCAGTAATAAAGCTGTCACATTATTTTTACTTTTTCTTCACAATATTTTTCAGATACATGGAGGAATTCCATAGATCATGTATTAAAGAAGGATTGAGCTCTGTGTAGCCCTAAAAATAAGTTAAAAGCTATATATATTTGAATGTCAACTGAGAATCCTAGCTTTAGTAAGATTTTTAAGTGGTCCCATGATACTTCATGAAAGATTGGAAGTTGTTCATCTTCACTTCTGTTACTTTCACAGAAATTACATGGAATTATGATGGCTTCTATGCATACATAGAATCTCCTAAATATTTTTAAGTGTGTTTAATGATCCACTGTGTGACTCTGCAGTGATTACCTGTGCTTTTTTCCCAATGCTGACTATTTGGCTCCAATTCCTTCTGTCTTATAGGTAGCAAAGTAATGAATGTACCTCCTTTTGAAGCTATTGCCCCTGAACCGAGAATGGGAACTAGGTTGATTGGCATTCTTATGCTGCCAATGAAATGAGATCTTACATGTTTTCTGGCTAGAGTCTGACAGCTCTCAACAACACCTGGCCACTAATTCTTATCTGCATGCAGGGAACCTTTAAGAACATGAAAACCTTCATCTTGAGTAGGAGCCAGTGAGTAGAAGTCTTCAACTATGTCATAATTTTCAGTGAGAGTTGGTCAGGACTCAAGTGACCTGAGAAAGCAGCTATCAATGTCACGGCCTTGTTTTCCCTTTTTCTTTCTCTGGCAGCACCCTCCACCAACCCAGAGGATGGTGGATCCTCGATCCACCATGATGACTTCTTAGAAAAAAGTGGCAGCAACAGGGATCTCAGCGGAGTGGCCTTGAGCCAAAGGGTGAAGGCAGGCAGGCATCACCTTTCCTCTTCTGCACCCTTGGACTTTTTCCTGGCGAACTCACTCCCATCTCCACCACACCCAGCATCTGTTATTCACCTTGCCTTACTAAAAATATGCTAAAAAGAAATCCAGGGAAATTGCATTCATTCAGACAAACCTTGAAATTTCAAAGGTCTGAAGCTCTAATCTCAGAGGAACAGGAAGTAGGCAGCTGCCATTTTCATGCCTTATTGAGGGTATTGTGGACTTTGGTAGACTGAGGATTTTAGGGCACATTGCTCAAAGGCCTTCTCCTTGTTGTCCCAAGTTCCTACTTCTGCTTTCAGCACTGAATCAGCAGCAGCATGGGAGATCAGGACGTTGGCTTGAATGACTCCCTCTTCTTCAGATCACTGGCAGTTGGTGGGCAAACCTCCCGGGCAGCCTTGGATGATGAAATCTATCACACTAGGAGGAAAATGGGACTGAATTCTCAAACCCCCTACCCACCCCTTCCTTCCTCTCTCAGGGGCTAAAAGTCTGGCAGGAGGAGACACAAGTAGCAACTGCCTGGGCAGCATTTCAGGAAAGATGCAGGCACTCCTGCTTCTGCTAGCTTTTATCCTACCTCCTGGGGCTGACACAGGTGAGTGATCAATCCCATCCTCAAAGGTCTGGTCTGGAGCCAGACTACCGTAGTATATCCTAACTCTGTAGGTTATTTAAATTCACATTTCTCAGTTTCTTCGTTTATAAAATGAGAAGATTAACACCAAGCTTATGGAGTGGCTAAGAAAGTTAAATTATTTAATGTATATAAGAGCATTGGAATTTGCTTTGATGCATAATAAGTGCTATAAATACACTATATAGATTCTATATAGATTCATTCTATAGCGCATGTGTCAAAACACAGGAGATAAAGACACAGCAATAAATCCCATCAGCTCGTATCTAGATCCTTCAACACCAATCCTGTGCTGCCCGTGAGCTGAATTCAAGGGCTATGGGAAGCTCCCTGTGGAAGAAAGCACAGAGAACTTCAAGGAAAGTTCGTTGGTATACAGAGTATCTTTCTTCAGTACCTGAGACTGATGCTGGTGTTGCCTGGAGCAAGCCTCGTTCTTCCCTTTTGGGGAGGGACAGCATGCTGAGGTCTGAAAAGGGAATGGGTCTCCCTTCAAGTGTGCAGTGTGATTCCTGAGAGCCTCAGAACCCTCTCCCAGCATCTGATGCCTTACAGAACCCAACCCTCACCAACAGCTCCTCCAAACTCCTGCTTCAACTCTCCCACCCTCCCCATCTTCCAGCCTTTCTGTTGCCACCAACCTGGTGCCACACTGCAGAATCTCAAGCACAGAGGTAAGCAACAAATGCTTCCTTCCAGGGAAGATCATTGGAGGCCGAGAGGCCAGGCCTCACTCCCGCCCCTACATGGCATATCTTCAGATCCAGACTCCGGAAGGACTGAGAGTTTGTGGGGGTTTCCTGGTACGAGAAGACTTTGTGATGACCGCAGCTCATTGCTGGGAAAGGTGAGGAACCCAGGAGATTCTCAGGAAGCCAGTAGCCAGAAGACCTCCTCAGAGGAGTATCTGAAAGCAATGCTGTAGCAGTCAAAGGGTCAAAAAAGAGACCAGGTAGGCCTGGGAGGAGGGGAGATGAAAAGGAGGCCTTGATTTAAAAAAGAAAAAAAATGTGAACAGAAGGAGATGGGAAACACATACTGGGGCTCAAGCCCATTTCTCAATTTAATCTAGAGGAGCAAATCTTAAGGTCACTGTCCTTTGCCATCTCTGGCTCAGGGCTGCTGAGAAACAGGCAGTGTTGAGACCCACTCTCTCCAGCTGCAGTCTTGCCTAGTCCTCAGCTGTTCATCAGCACTCAGAGTTGCTAGATTGTAGCCCTTGCTGCTCCTACCTCCCTCCAGGCCAATTTTTCCTTTGCAGTTCTATAATCGTCACCCTGGGAGCCCACAATATCCACAGGCAAGAAAGGACCCAGCAACACATCACTGTGCGCAGAGCCATCCGCCACCCTGGTTATGATGAGCAAATCAAACGGAATGACATCATGTTACTGCAGGTACTGCCTGCCTGACCCTCTGGTTGTCCAGCCTAGCTGGCTCCATCTTGGTATGGTAGCTTGGTTATGTTCTGGTATTGTGGAGGAGGAAGCAAGGGAAGGCTCCAGGGTGGTGCTGGGAACATGGAGTAAGTAATATCCTGGCAGTCCCTGAGGGTTGTTGGGGATCGCAGTCGAGTGGGAATGCCTACCCTCTTTCTGACAGCTGAGGAGTAGAGTCAGGAAGAATCGGTTTGTGAGGCCAGTGGCTCTGCCTCAGGCTGGGAAGAGGCTGAGGCCTGGAGCCTTGTGCACAGTGGCTGGCTGGGGCCTGCTCAGCCTCAACAGAAGAACGGATGTGCTCCAGGAGGTGCAGCTAAGAGTGCAGAGGGACCAGGACTGCAGCCATCGCTTCAGTATCTACACTGCCCAGACTCAAATTTGTGTGGGGAGCCCAAGGGAAAGGAAGTCTGCCTTCAGGGTAAGGGCGCGGACATCTACCAATATTTCCTGGGGCAGAGAGCCCTGGGTAGAACTGAGCAGTGGGAACAGATTCCATTCCCACAGCCTTAGCCTAGGGGCCAGATCAGGGCAGGATGTATATGTTTGCCCCATCAATCCCATCTCTAGAAGAATGAGAGGAAGATTCACAACCCATATAAATGCAGCATTTTCCTGGGGAAGGTGGAAGTACCTTGACTCAGACTGAACTGGAGACAGTAACTTCAGCCAGAGGCTGAAGTCAGGAAGCTGAAAAGCCAGAAACTGAAAGATACAGAGGCTGGACTCCAGCCTTTCCCTACCCGCAGCCCCCCGCCCCCAACACCCACACACACCAGCTTGCCATCCCCTACACACCAGCAACTGACAGTGCTCACCACCTCTGCCTTTGCTGAGAGCCATGGGTTAGGGCAGCAGAAGCATAGAAGCCTGGCTTAGCATCCTTTTCCCTCTCTGCTCACAGGGGGACTCAGGTGGCCCCTTGGTCTGTAACAATGTGGCCCAAGGCATTGTCTCCTATGGAGATAGGAATGGGACCCCTCCAGCAGTCTTCACCAGGATCTCAAGCTTCCTGCCCTGGATAAAGAAAACAATGAGACGCTTCCAACCATGGGATCAGACTGAGACACACACCTGTGTGAAGGACTCTTTTCCTCTGAGGCACAGCCCAGCTCCAGGGGGGTTGCCAGAGCCCTAATAAATGTCTCATCTAGAGTGTAAATATTTATTCATTAAACATCATTTGGCACTGTCTTAGTCTGTTTGAACTGCTATAACAAAATACCACACACTGGGTAGCTTATAAACAACAAGTTTATTTCTCCCAGTTCTAGAGTCTGGGAAGCCCAAAGTCAAGTTACCAGAAAATTCCGTATCCAGTGAGGGCCTTCTTCCTGTTTCAGAGATAGTCTTCCACTTGCTGTGTCCTCATAAGGCAGAAAAGGCAAGAGAGTTCTCTATGTTCTTTTAAAAGGACATCCATCCCACTAAGCAGGGATCCGCCCCCTTGATCTAATCACCTGCCAAGGGCTGCTCTCTAAATACCATCATATGAAGATTAGTTTTCAACATATAAATTTTGAAGGAACACAGACATTCAGTCTATAGCAAGTACACTACAAATGTTCTAGGATTGAGTTGAGTTCCTCCAGGAAAATGGGGCCTCTTCCCCAAGACCAATGAACCACCACACCCTCAGCCTAGGGGTCAGGATGAGATTCTTCCTCCTTTCTTCTGCCCTGTATCCCTTAGTTAACTTTCCCCACCAACTTGGCAAGCACCAGAAGGACCTATCTCTCCCCAAGGTCTTCTGGGAGAATCCCTCCTGTTCAATATTGAAGTATGCCCTAATTAAAACTGTGTACCATTGAGGCAGACTAAAAGAGAAGAATTGACATTCCGTTACGGCCTAAATTAATATATGATAAAGGTGGCACCTCAAATCACTGGAAAACAATGAACTTTTTAAAAATGGTATTAGAAAAACTAGATTTGGGGAAAAAAAGAAAAAACTGAATCAATTCCTCATGTCATACTTCAAAAATAAATTTCAAGTAGATCAGAGAGCTAAATGCAAAAAAAATTAAATTATACAAGTATAAGAAGAAAGAAAAAATGAAAGGATTTGAGTGTTAAAGCAAATACCCATGCACTTGGAAACACAACCCACAAAAGCCAAAAGATGGAAGCAAGTCAAGTGTCAATCAGGGAGCAAAGTTCTTTCCCTAAAACCTTACACCACAGCAGCCTCACTGTGATACAAAACAATGTTTTCATTGCCAATATGCTGAAGGTCTGCTTCATGCTTTTATACTCTAAGTAATAAGAAAGTATACACAAATGTTGACTAAAATAACAATGTTTGCCCCAAAGATTAGGCCATGATTCTCTGTATCAATATTATGTTCAAATACTAAATCACATAATTTAAAATTAGTCTCTAAACATCTTAAAATAACTGCACAGAATCAGCTGAGAGGTGTTTCTACGTACATCAAAATGTTAATTATTCATTGCAGCATGACATTTACCAACTTAACTTTTGCAGTTTCTATATCCTTAAGTGGAATAATCACTAAACATGTTTTATCAAATCCAACTGACTATATACAGAAATGCTTTGGTGAGTTTGATCAGTATTTGAAGTGTACCTCTTATCCACTCTAACATCCAGTGTAGGCCATTTATCAATAAAATTTTTACCAACAATACATCTCTGATAATCTTCAGTCCTTCTCTGTATTTGCTAACTGCCTGCCTGCTATTTGCATGCTGTGGGAGATGACACTCCCATTATTAAATGTTTGCATTGGCAAATGGAGAGAACACTTGCTAGCTGGGAAGAAGGAGGGAAGATCAGTGGAAAAGTCCCCTTCTGTCCTTTCTTCCATGGCATTTACAAAGAGCCCCACAGCACTTTCTAGTCTTAGACTCGAACCTGAGGAAACCCAAGGGCAGACACATCTCATTTCACAAATTTCTGTCCCAGTCAGCACTTCCTAGGTAGCTCCTTGCCTTTAGCTGCCCCTGCTGCCATGAGGTCCAGCAGGCTCTGATGTCGCCTTTGTTCCCTCTTGCTTTTCTGCGGCCTCTGGAAGCCCACTCCACACACACATGCCCAGGACTTGCACATTTCACTGTCTCACCAGAGTCCTGACCCTCTGACATTGGCAAGTCTGGGCTTCAAAGCGATCTCCTTTTAAGTGGAAAGTATGGTACTTTCTTCATGACCAAACTAATGTAAACAGGTGCTGAGAGACACCTGAGACCAACTGACCACTCTCCACACCAGGAACCAGTCTTAAAGATCCCTCTCACTACCCTGGCCCAGATTCCCACATCCATCTGTTAACCATCTCTTACACCCGTGATGACAGCCAGGATCTTCTTGTGGAGCCAGTCTATCTTAAGTACTGGCAAAAAAGACACTGGGCTAAATTCTGGGCTGAGTCTTGCACATCTGTTCCAAGTTCAGAACTCATCAGCCTCATCATATTCAAGCCCATTCATTCTGCTCACATCTGGCAGCCTTGCTTCTGGGCCATACCTACCACTACTGACTATCTGAGATTTAGCTGCCCTTTGTGTGAGATGAGCCTGGAGTGCTCTGCTCCCCTATCCATCAAAACATAAATGGTTGTGAAGTTCAGTCAACTGCTAGGGTAGTTCTGGGCTCTGGAGATACAATAGTGAGCATGGAAGATGCTTAATAAGCCAGGCTCTGGTGGCTCATGCCTAGCTACTCAGGAGGCAGAGATGCAGAGAATCGTGGTTCATAACCAGCCAAGGCAAACAGTTTGCAAGACCCTGTCTTGAAAACCCCTTCACAAAAAAGGGCTGATGGAGTGGCTCAAGGTGAAAGCCCTGAGTTCAAGTTCTAGGACTGAAAAAAATGCTTAATAAGCTGCTGTTGGGTGATCTCAGTCTGCATTCCACAGATCCCTGGGCTTTGTTCTCTGAATCCCCTGTGGCCTAGGTTAGAGTGAAAATCAAAATAAAGGTAATAATATCCAATTCTAACATAAATACCAGAGCCTCATGTATTTATCACATACATTTTACTGACATCATTTCATATGATCTTAGAAAATACAGATTAGAGCTTATGGAAGCTTGTTGGTAATTATTCCTAGAGAATCAATTCTGGGATCACCAAGGAAGAAAAATATCAAGGACTGATCCCACCACATGGAATGACGGTTGCTCATGGGTTTTAAATACAATATTTGGCATGGGAAAACTTATTTCTAAAAAGTAGTATTAAAAACAAAAAATAAAGACAAAAGTGATATTGAATGACCTACTTCTTTCACCTACAAGACTCCAAAAAGATAGTGACCTCCCCACCCCCCCATAGCCCTTCAGCAACCACTCCATAGGAACGGAGCTATGTGGTCTCCACTTCCAAGCAGTACTCTACCACTGAGTAGATTTTGTTCTACACTCTTCTTTTAAAAATTCTGTAACCACATGGACATCCAAGCTACTCTGATACCTGTTGGAGAAAATGCTTCATGTAAGAAATTCTGATCTATTCTGCCTCCTGTGTCTGAGTTGGAATGGGTTCCTTTGGACTTCCAGAAATCCAGAGAGTTCAAATAAGGAGCACAGTTTCTTAAATGTCTACAGGAGTCCCTCTATTAGTGCAACTGAACTGCCTATAAAACCACCCATTTCTGGAATTGAAAGGAGAAAATCTCATCCAGACATCCCTGACAGTCCATAATTTTAGACACCTATTACCTGGCAGCCCCTCAACCCAGCTATACTCCCTTCCACAATAAATACCTCCAGTTCTTCATCCATTCTTCCACGGAGCTTGGGAGACTTTTCAACCACAGCATGCTCCATTATGGAAATTCTCCCCAGAGGACAAAACTGTGACCCCTGATTACAGATTCTCTGGTTTTTTATCTATGCACAGATAACTGTTCAGATCATGAAGAAAATTAGCTGGTTTTCAGGACATACATTTATCAACATAAGTAACTCCTTCAATGAGGCACAAGCCTAGGAAAGTGCTTCCAGGAAGGAAAGTGGCTATTATTGACACTTTATTACTATACTCACCATCCTCTCTCAGATCATTGAGAATTTGGAGAAAGGACAAAAAACAACCCAGAGGCAATAGTCTCCCATACTTAATTGTATCTTACTTCCAAGGAAATAAACACAGAGGCCCCCAACTAAGTTCAGAGGTTGTTGAGGTGTAAAGGTTTCTATATGATCCCTGTTATTGACCAAGAGAGATCAGGGAGGTAAAGAGTAGCAATTCTCCTGTTACTTCTTTCTAACTCTCCAAATATCTCCAAGTAGTTTGGTACTCAAAACCATGACAGCTTCATATATCATGATGTTGAGAACAAAAAGCATTACTCAGATGAATCTGGGGACAATTATAGTAAGGATTAATTCCTTCTCAAAGTTTTCTTCTTCTGGCATTTCTGTGTTTTTCTAGTACACTCTTCAGTGTCTCTTAAGCTCCTATCTATGCACCCCAACCTGCAAAACAATGCACTTACTTGAAGCTACCAGGAGTTGATAGATTCTGGTTGGTTCCTTCAAATGAAGCTTGGTAATTTGTCATGGCTATAAACTTTCCTCTCAGGACTGCCTTTGCTGTGTCCCATAGGTTCCAGTCGGTTGTGTTTTCATTTTCATTGACTTCCAGGAACTTTTTAATTTCCTCTTTTATTTCATCAATGACCCATTTTTCATTAAGCATTGAGTTATTCAGTTTTCAGCTGTTTGCATGGTTTTTGTCTTTATTTTTATTGTTGAGTTCTAGTTTTATTGCATTGTGATCAGATAGAATGCATGGTATAGTATCTATTTTGTTATATTTGCTGAGGCTTGCTTTGTGCCCTAGGATATGATCTATATTGGAGAAGGTTCTGTGGGCTGCTGAGAAGAATGTATATTGTGTAGAAGTTGGATGAAATGTTCTGTAGACATCAAGTAGGTCCATTTGATCTATGGTATATTTTAGATCTAGGATTTCTTTATTGATTTTTTGTTTGGATGACCTATCTATTGATGATAATGGGGTGTTAAAGTCTCCCACAACCACTGTGTTGGAGTTAATATATGCTTTTAGGTCCTTCAGGGTATGTTTGATGAAATTGGGTGCATTGACATTGGGTGCATATAGGTTGATAATTATTTCCTTTTGGTCTATTTCCCCTTTTGTTAGTATGG